TCTGCTCTGCTTCTCTGCTGCTTTCCATGATAAATTTGACAGTAATTTGACCAATCATAAAAATGATGGTCTTTTAGCCAATCCATCACATGGACGAGATTTGTTGACGTCATTTGGCATTTGCACCAATCTCGCGCTTCGTAATGTTTTTCTGCAGCGGACCTCCGCGTACCTACGCAGTGTTTGGTGCGCATGAACGGATGGAAGATGTAGCTTTGGCAATGCATCCATTAGAAACTGTGTTTGCACGTGTATCGTCAAGTTATGTAACGTTGTGGAGTGCTTCACTGGATTTACCAGGTACAGGGCGCCGCCTTCTTGCGTGTTGTCGCCGTAGTGGCCAATGGATTGAACAAATAAAGAATAAAAAGGCCTTGGACGGTCCATTAAAGGAAAGCGTGATGCTACATCAGCTTTGGACTGTGTGGGTCTCGGGGAATCGTCTTGCTGTAGTAGAAAAAGATTCCCAATCCGTCGAGTTTTACGCATTTGATGGACTAAACAAGTTGCTTTTACGTGCTGGGACATCCACTTACGACGTAATGGACAAAAATTTGACTTTTTTTGATGACGCAATTGTCTCGTCTGACGCTGATGTGAACCTACTGTCATCTACTGAGCCAAAAGAAAAGGAAACCGATGGAAGTGAAGGGACAAAGGCAACTTCAACGAGACTTCAACTTGCAGCTAAGTTTGTTGAAGATTATCCACTTAATCAGGGTACTTTTGAGAGTGATTACGAAGATGTGGCATGTTCCATGACTGCTGTACCCGGTAGCAATTTTTTGTTCGTAGGCATGGCAAGTGGCATGATTTGTGTCGTAGAAGTTGGCGACGCAATTAATAGACAGAATAGTCAAGGTTCCTGGTTTAGCAATGGAGATAGTTCTACCAAGATCTGGAAAATTGACGTTCGAACGCATTTGGCCGAGTCTGGAGATACTAAGGTACCAAGTTGCTACGAACTTACTTGTGCTTCGACCGACTTGTCGTCAACGATTACGTCATTGTACCTTGTTGCCAGTTTTGAAGGCGGTAACTGTTTTATACTGTTGCTGTCTCCTTTTCAAAAAAGTATTGACCAATTGTTATCGTTAATTAATACGGAAAGGGATATCAACATGTCAATTGGTGGTAAAAGTAGTAACGGTCGTTGCACTACAATATCTTTGGATGCAAGTGGGTCACGACTGGCTCTTGGCTGGATGGACGGTAGCGTGTCACTGTTTCAATTATCGTCAAATTGTGACAATGTCAAGACAATGAATACTGAAACATCTGGTGAAGCAAAAGTACATATGACACTGGCTCTAAAACCGATACAGGAATTGAGTCTCGTCTCATGGGGATACGCATCGAAAGATATTGGATATGTAACAGCTTTAGCATGGTTTCATGACGGTCGAAGTATTGCTGTGGGATACGAACAACGAGGTTTCTCTCTTTACTCGACTGATGGTTGTCGTTTAATGTCTAGTTTACCCCAGCATAAGCAGGAACGATCAGAAAAGATTGATAATCACCACTTAAAGGAAATGTGCGCTTTTGGTGTGCTTGCGTTGCTATGGACGAAAGAAAGCAACTCGCTAATTGTGGTGCCCCGAGGAGAACAGTCGACGCAGCTAGTGCAGCTACCAGACGATCAGATTTTGAGGACACTTGAGGAGGAGCCTGATGTAAATCTGATTGAAGTCGCACATTTGTATGAACAGGTGCAAGCAAAGGTGCAAAAAGAAGAAGATGGATTGTGTTTATCTCTATCAGGTGCACCTGGGCGTTGTGGTGCTTGGGTTCGGAGCGACAGAAGCTTTACGAAGCGAGCACATGATGGCGGAATGGGCCCAGCAGAGGCATGCGGTCGGATTCAGGGCGGTGATTTGCTCGTGGGTATCGACGGCAACGTCGAGGTTGTCAACTTGCCTTTTGAGCAGATTATCAGTCAGATCAAGGGACTGCCAGACAACAAGGAAGTGGTGCTTACATTTATGCGCTTGAAGTGGGACGAAGTCTTTTCGATTGCGGTCGAAGCGCTGTCCTCAAGTGAGTTCATGGATGCGCATGGTATTCACTTACTTGACGATGAAGACCTGTGCATTCGCGAGTATGCGCTACGCATGCAAGCGCTGCATGGAGACTGTGATTCAGGGGATCGCCCACCTCTTATGGAGTTTGAGTGCCGTGCAAAGTTTGATGGATGGGAAGCAATTCAGGGCACTACATCAAGGATTGCAAAGCACAAGTATGTGAAGCTATTGTATGCTCTTTTTCCTGTTTGGAATCCGGACCATTTTTTAAATGTGCTAACGGAATACTGGAACGCAGTTCGTGCGCAAAAGCGTTACGCTGCTAACGAAGGGAGACTGAAGCTGTTACAGGCTCATCGAGAACTTGTTAAGATGCGTCAGCCAGCAACGATTTCATTTGCTCAATTTGATTTTGCAAAAAATGTACCACTTTCCGGTGGATACTCGTCTCAACTTGCGTTGGTAGAGAGCAAGAGCGTTCGTTTGGTGGCTGCACCGTCGCTTGATGATCCCTGTGCTTTGACGTCCTGTGCTAAATGGAGTGTACCTGTTGAGTTTGTGAAATGCTGTCCACTGCGCCTCGTGACTCTTACAACAAATGGTAATCATTTGGCGGTGGCCGGGCAACGGGGCTTTTGCTTGCTTAATATCGTCACTGGAAAGTGGAGAATGTTTGGCAACGTGAACGACGAGCAGGATATGTTTATTTTTTCGTTTCTGTGGGTGCGGGACGATGCGATTGTGGTAAATTTTACGCGATTTAGCGAGAATCACGAGTTGATGCATCTGCAGGCGTACCCTAGGAATCACTTGGACGAAGAATCGATTCTAGAGCAACTAGTATTTACACGTCAAATTAAAAAAGTATCGCGAAGTCGAGAATCAGCCGTGTTGGGAGGACGATCGCTTGAAAATGATGCCGATGACTGTTTTTTTATTATGGAATGTGATAATGCTCAAGAAAATCTCTTCTGCATATCTAGAAACGAGCTGTGGTGCTTCAAATTGAAACAAAATGGCACTATAAAACAAAATAGTCTTCGGATCGAAATTCAACTCAAACGACGGGTAAATTTGCCTTCTCGGATGATAAGGTCGCAGTCTGTTGGAACTAGCAGAAGAAATTTTGTCTTGGATTTCGCTGTACTACCGCGTTTTCTCCACATTCCGGACCAAAAATTACGAAAACAGCAGCTGCGAAAGTTTCAGAAGGAGCGCGAATACGAAAATGATGACGAGGACTGGCTTTCGAGCTTTTTGAATATGATGGTCGGCGGAGAAGTACCTGATCAGTACACACCAGAAGAAGTACTTCCTCGGTTCGCATTCTTAGACAGTGTAGGCGATGTGATTATATGGGATCCAGAAAATCGCTCGCAGCGGTTGTTGTGCTCGAATGTGAGTACGATGGTAAGATTATTCGTATCTCCTGAGGTGTGTGCTTCGTGGCCAGCACCTTGTCGCCTTATTTACTGGATGTATGGTCCAAAAGGCATGGAAATGTGGCTTCCACAACTGGATGGTGTTTACATGACCCACACTAAAGCATTTGAAGAGGATAGTTGTCGACTGGAGACATTTTTGGCTTGCCACGACCCATTGCGAGCAAAAACGTACGTGATTGAATTTGGTACCGCTCCGGCCACGGCTGAGCTTTACGAGCAAGTCATCGGCGAGTATGGAATCGTCTTGGATGGCTTCCTGTCCAGTGGTACTGGTGTTGGTATAGGGACTGGCAGAATGCCTTTGAAGGATGGATATCCAAATTTGCGTGGGTGTGTAACGTCAGTGGACGATCCGTTTGCGAGAGATGGCATGCTTCGCTTCGATTATGACGTGAAAGTGCTTGGTTCTGAACAAACATTTGGACTTTTAGTTGGTGTCTCTCAGGATGTATATGTGCCTTCAGGCGTGCTGATTCCGTGCTACGACGTATTTGCACGCGTGCAGCCAATATTTCACACACTGCTTTGCTTCCTCGTGCAGAATGACCAGATTTCGTGGGCGCGTCTTGTTCTGAACGGCATCCGGAACCACTTTGGGCTTTCCACCCCGACGCAAGAGCTGTTTCTCCACTCTATGCTTGAAGCTTGCTTTGCGAATCGATGTTCAGAAGAGAAACTGCACAGAGCCATCCATCTTCTGCTTCCAAGCAACGAAGAACAACACCAAGAGGGTGACATCGCGGAGTACTGCGAGATTGTCGCCCATGTGGCACGTAAGAGCGAACCATCTCGACTGAAAATCTTGTTTCCTGCGGCAGGCGACCCGATAAGTTTGCTTAACAGTTGTCGACAACGGTCGGAGTTGCGAACGGCTGCCAACTTTCTGCTCATCTTGGACGAGTGCTCGACTGCGTCGACTTCTTCATTGCCGCTGCGGATGCAAAGCGCAGCCGAATTGCTCAAGGAGTGCATCGATCAGGAAGAGTGGGTGCTTGCACAGCACGTGGTGCGGGTTGCGCGTGATTGGGAGCAACCGTCACTCGACGAGACCTCTTGCCCATCGTCGTCTCACAATGTCAATATCACTCGCATCGACGAGCGGCTCGCATCTTTGGTGTGGGACTATCTTGTTCATGGTGAGTACGAGCGCGTGGTTTCGTGCGTTGAAGACCTCCAGGCAAAGCTTCCCCACAAGTCTCCAGATGAGCGCCAATTAGACGAAGATAGCGCTGCTATTATGGACCGACTCAATCAGATCTTCGTCCAAAACAACAAGCAGAGACAGCTTAGGTAAAAGGAGTTGCTCTTGTTTGAGGTGGTTGTATCGGGAACAGGTTGCAGCTAATTCTCGTGTGTTTTTGACTGTTGTTCGTGTATCAGGACCTTACTGCACGCAGTGACAGAGGCTCACTATGATGAGTGGGTCACATGCATCAAGGACGTAATGAAGCAATGATGTAATTGAGCTAGCGGGCTACAATCCACTGCACTTTGTTTGAGTGGTACGTACTGCCTTGTTGCAGGCTTCAACAATAAATAGCATTCGCTCATTTGTTTGTTGTCACACAGAGAGCAAAGTTGGTTGTTGTGATTAGTTCTTTGAGTCGGAAACAAGTACTTGAAGAAATGAAGCGCATGATAATGAAGCAGCTTCAGTCAAGCGGTAGCCCTCGAAAGCACGATCAGTCTCCATATTGAGTATGCAGCCGCGACTGAACATCATTGCCGACTTGATGACACGAGAGGTTAATTGAGGCTGTGACTCTGATTACGGTGGAATAGAAAGCCGTCAACCTTGGTTGCTACTTGTACATGCTGCTGTCAGACATCCACGGTATTGATAGTGATGGTGTTTGGATGCTTCATCGCGCGATAGTACCCGTACTCAGGTTGTAGACGAGACGGATGATGGCCTCAGCTGTGGTGGCCTTTATAAACTTGTAGGATCGCATATGACTTGGCGACAACGTTGCTAGTACACAGTGCTGCTTGCATGAGAAAAACAACATTGCTTACAAACGTGATGGCAGTTCGAATCGTATTGAATAGTTAAGGTCAATTGTTTCTTTGGCATAGAAAAAGCACGCGACTTTGAGGTAGAAGATACTCGTATCATGGACGATATTCAGCATTACAAATTGCAAGAAGCATCTTGGGCGAAACTGCGTGTGCAACAATTGCGCATGCTATTGAGCTTGCGAATGATTCATGATCTCTAGAGTACTATTGAAAACATAATACAACAGCTTTGACCAGCTTGTGATCGGAACATTCCAAATATCTATCGGCTATAGCAGAATCTAAACCAGACGTCGGTGGTGCGCTGATTGTTGTCAGCATGCTATATCCCAGTGCAACCAAATCACTTTAAAATTTGATGGCAAAAGTACAAAGTCGAATGTCCGTTGTAGGAGCAAATTGTGCGAGTATAATGTCTGCGTCAGCTTCATTGTCAAAGCAAAATCGTCGGTCAAACCTTGTTCGTTGGATCTTGTCTGCGCTTAAGTCAAGAAGACCAGAGTCTGAAAGCATCGATTCGGATAGTGGACATACAAAATCTTCTCAACATGTTCGACACTGGTGAAAATCACGTTCATCAGGGGTCGTGTACAACACGGCACAAGCAGACATTGTATGTGAGGTAACAGTCGATGCCTACCCTTCCATCTATACTCAATACATCAACGACGCTTTCTGTCTCATCTACATCGATTAAATTTGTCTAAACGCCACAGAAATGCAGGCAGTAGCAAGCACATCACCTGTAGCTCAAGGCTGCAAGAGACAAAGCTCGCTATCACACATTTCTTACTTCCATGGCTAGGTGCGTTATTCTATTGCTCGCAGAGGCGTTCCGTTACAAACTCCATCACACACTTAGTGCTCAGTTAAGATTTACCCACTCCCTACGATTACGTTAGTTCTGCGTACTAAAAATATTTTTAAGCTTGCTACATCATTTTGCAACAAGACCAGGTTCTTGTACTAGTATTCCTGCAAATGGTCGTCAAAAGCATTTTTTCAAATTGATTGAGGCACATATTGTGTTTTGCAGTATCAAAAGCGACTCTTTAGGATGAAAAGATGGATGCTAGCTGCTGCCTTTGTGTGCCACCAGGTTTTATTCAAGCGACCGTTGCTCATTGGATTTATCACGTTTCATTTCCTTTAAGTGAGCATAAAGGCGTTTGATTGAGTTTAGTATGCCTTTACTTGGCTGGTTTTTCGTGCTCTATATTATGCAGATTACTGACTTCGCAAAGAAACCTATGTAAACAGATTAATGCCAAATTGATGTTTAAATTTTTTATGAATAATCCTCCTACTTTTTCAAAAAATTACTTCTAATTGTGGACAACTTTCCTATAAATTTCCAGAAGACTTCCACAAACAGATGCTTTTGCAATCAGTTATTTACCGCGTCAAACTATCATTTGTCAAAATGCATAAAAGCAACAGTATCCTATAAATTATGAATATCACACTAAGAGCACAGTACAAATACTTTAGTATTTTATTATAAATTATAATACTATTATATTACATGGACAATACTACTCCATTCGACAAGAAGAGCGTAAGCCATTAGTATGTACGTTGTGGTTTTTTTTAGACAGTCCTCCCCATCCATACCTTTGCTCTTATATTTCAAATAATCCAGAAAAAACAGATGCTTTAGCAATTAGCTAATTCCCACGCTACATTACAATAGAATAATATGCATGACAGCTACAGTTTCTATTAGTATGAATATCGATTTGAGAGCACGATACTATATTTTAGGATATGAAGAGCGACGGCCAATATCTGTATTTCTAAAAGGTTTTTACCCTATACATATTTAAAAAAAATTTTTGTTGTTGAGCAAAGTTTTCGATTTAGGTCTGCATCCTGTTTTTATTAATACTAATTCAGATTAATTAAAGGAAGATCGAAATACTTCTCAGTAAATCAGTCTGTCTACTGATTATATTCAATTTGGGTCTAATATTTAAGAAATAGTACATGTAATTCATACTATTGATATCAAGTTTAATTACTATAAAGTGAGACCGGATGAGTGCGTGCCTATCCACATTCTAGTCCGGACCAGGTCTTTGAGTTGAATAGCTCGGACTTCAAGCTTACACAGACACTGATAATGTGTGCATTATCACCGTGACTTGTCTTTGGTCGTGATGACTGGCATTCTAACACTGCTGATCCGACACATCGTTAAAAAACCAGTACACAGAAAGCTGAAGAATCCGAGTTTGATCCTGTCAAGTCAATCTCCTCATTTCATTATACTTATTCTAGCGCACAAATGAATTTGTTTGGTGTTTCGCTTTCACGCTAGGCTTAGTTCGCTCAGCTTATTCGTTGGATCTTCGTCCCGATCAAGTGGTTCCATTCCCAGAGGTACTTCCTGAAGATGACATCTTTAAACTGGGGTTAAGGATCAAATTGCAGCTTCACATTAGTTCTGGATGTCACCCATATCCTGCTGTTAATCGTTATGGCTTTACCGCCTATGGCCTTAGTGATTTCAAAGTATTTACTTCGTGCAAGGGATCGCCGCTAGGATCGCAAGTTTATGGACGAGAAGTGACAATCGGCGCTATCGCGGGTATCATGTATGCCTGGTTTATTCCAACACACAACTTGGTATTGTATGGCCACAAAGGCGGTTGACATCATCTCGTTGTGTGGCTTGATAGTCTTTCTTCTGATACCAGGATAAGGTCGGTCACAGTGCAGACGCTTGCTGGTCACTGAAACTACGACCTTTACGATACGAAGTATTCTGACGGAGAACACTTCAAAGTCAAGTATACGTGAGTATTTCCTGGTCCGCATTATCTGACAGCTACAAAAAAGTCGGGAGAGTATCAAGATTTGATCATGTGGAGCAACATGACGGACGCAGCGCGCAAAGCACTGGAACAGACGTCATTTATGGGAGCTATGGCACCGGTGAGCACTAAAAAGTTTAAACGTTCTATCCTGAAGGCCTATGATTCTTAGTGTTGCTCTGAAACTTGTCACTGTTTGGCATTTGAAATGTAAACGGTCAATTTTCTTGAAACGTTGCTTTACATTGTTTTTGTTTCACTGTCATGAGATAATATATGTAAAAAAAATACTATGAGTAAAATAGTCGCCATGCGCGCTTAACCTCAGCTAGAGACATGTAATTACAATGATTAGAAGCTTAGAGCGTCAATCATATTGATGCATACAACTCATCAGCTTGGCTTTTTCTTTTTGTACTGACATCGGGTCATGATTTGATCTAGCGTCGCGGATTTTTAACAAACTTTACCTGTTACCACAAGGCAACTTTCTCAAACTTAGCTGCAGGTGGCCATCTCATTTAGCTCTTGTCTTGTTACTTTGGTTGACTTACTTGTCACTTAATATTATGATATGTAAGATATTATTGGGAAGTACAGTAATTGAGCACCCTTTGCTTTAGAGCAGACAATGTGCGTCATCTTTAGCCAGTGTTGAGCGCGTAGACTGTAGATGTCGGCGTAATGTATCAGTAAACCATTGCGAAGCAGTGCTAAGCAAAAGCTAACGCCAGTGAAAGGAAGAAGGGATGTGAATGCTGATTGAAATACATTACCAAGACTTTTATTCAGCTGACCGCTTGTTTGGCAGTGACACAAATGCGTGTTTGGATTCACCAGAAGGCGACTAATGCTTACAAAGCCTTCAAAGATACTATTTAAATGGCATTGTAAATGCATGGTGGTGTCCCTACACTTAACAAAAAGTTTTTGGTGTCTTTGATAATTGTCATGCTTCAATTCTAAGGTAGCGCATATGTAATGCCGTAACCTCAACAATACCCCCCATGAGTACACTCGGAACATAAGTTGCAGCGTTGCGTTCTGATACTTGTTGTCTCTTCGCTCTTGTTTTCTTGGTATAGCTGACGTAGCTCTGCACGACGTGTTGATTCGACAGTGCGGTGCTTTATCATGATCAGCCGAAGGCATCCGAGCGGCTTTGTTAGCAGATCGGCAGGGTTGACATGGTCGTCGTTTTTTTGGACGTGGACGGCTTTCCTGGTAACTTGTTCGCAAACATTATGAAACCTCAATTCAATATGACGCGCCTTTCTGTTGTAAGTTAGTTTGGTGTCTAACGAGATAGCCGCTTGGTTGTCCACTCCTAGCAAAAAGTCTACGTTCGTCTTGGGTAGTACTTCCACAATCGCCAGCGCTCGTCCATCCGTATAAGCCTTACATGATGCAACGTAATCAGCTTTAGCCACGCACTGTCGACCGTCATGAAACCCAAGCCACCGGTCCTCCGGCCATATGTAATGCGTAGCCTGTGACGCTCTTTCTAGAATCTGGGCAGATGCCCAGTCGGTGTCGCGGATTTCGTCATCTCTAATCACATTTGATTGTAGCGGTCGCGAGAACAAAATTCCTACAGCTTGTAATGGCAAGTGCTGTCCCACCACAAGCACAAGAAATCAGTGTTGCTTCGTCGTGGCTTAAGATAGTAACGCACTCGCTTCAAGGGTCCGCCATGCTGTACCGTCGGGTTCTCGACGAATCGACTTATATACCCGACCGAAAGTGATGGACCAGGCCTTGTACTAAAGGCTATGGACATAAGTGAGCCTATAGCTGCTTCATACCGCTTGGTGTAGATACAATGGTCGGAGTCGCACTTTGAAAACGTAAGCTGAAGCATGAATACGTCGATGGTCTTGCTCCACATTCGCGGCGATTGCTTCAATTCATAAAGCGACCGCTGCAGTTTGCAAAAAAATGACCGTGTTTTGATTGATGCAGACGTCCAGTTGAAACATGTAGATGCATTCATCCAGATTTCCATTAAGAAAAGCCGTCTTGGCATCCATCTGATGAACAGCCTGATTGTACTTGGCTGCCATACTAATCACTATTCTGATTGACGTAAACTTGGCCACTGGTTCGAAAGTCTCCTCGTAATCAATGCCGTATTGCGGGGACAATCCATTAGCAACGAGACGTCCTTTAAAACACTCAATCTCACCATCCTGGTTCTCCTTGACCCGAAATACCCATCGACAGCCGATTGCCTTTCGACCCTTGGGCAATGGTACCAACGCAGAGTCCATTTCGCAGTCGCACGCATCCTTCCTCTGAACCGCATTGCTAGATTCCATTGCCGATTTGAACGTTGTCGGCATTTCTCCCACTGAATCTACAACACACGCTGCGTGAAAATCGTACAGTACCCGCGCAAATGCTGATATGTCCCGTCTTGTCTGTGAACAAGATTGCCTCTTTGGCGCCGGAATTTAAACTGCGTGTTTTAACGAAGAAGTTCGGGTGTGACGCTTGGAAACAGGCACAGTGTCCTCGTCATTACCAGCAAATATCCGATGGAGATGATGATTTGTGATCAGTGGCCTCATCATCCGGGATATTCACGAATGTGTCTTTGAACTCATCTTCGTTTCTATAGCAGCGCCTCCCATCTGTAAAGAAATTTTCCATTGATCGCGTGTCACGACATATTATAATTCTACGGCTCTTGATCTGTTCAAACCGATATGCTTTCTCGTGCTCCGTATATCCGATGAACCGGCAGCATATCGAGCAAGCATCGAGTTTGCCACATTGCTGCTTTGGGACCGTTAAATACGCATGGCAACCGAACACCTTCAGATTCGCCAGTAGCAATTTCTTACCGGTCCAGACTTAATGCGGCGACTTACTGACTAGTGGATTGCGTCGGGATTCGGTTACGAAGAAATGTAGCAGTCATTATCGCTTTGCCTCAATACGCATTGGATAATCCGGCATGCTCCAATATGCAACGAGCACATTTTAGTAATGTCCGGTTCATCCGCTTTGCGACTTATTATGCTCAGGAGTGTCTGGAGGCGTGTACTTCTGCACGATACCGCGATTGCTGCAGAACTTTATCATCGCACTCGACTTGTATTCTCCTCCATTATCACTACAAAAAAACCTTGACCCGGTTGCCTGTCAAAGTCTCAGCAGAGGCAACAAAGATAGCAAATTTGGCCGCCACGTCGGTCTTTTCTGTAGCAAACTGACCACGCAAAAATGCGAGTATTCGTCAGTAAATGTAACAAGGTATCGACAGCCGCCAAAAGTATGTGTCTGCATTGAGCCGCATACGTCAATGTGGATGACTTCGAGCAGATTTGTTGCTTGAAGTGGTTATCTGGGTATAAAACGACCCGCGTTTGCTTAACCAGAGCACGCCCCTCACACCTCTCCCACTGCTTTACTGACGTGGTGTCGATGCCAATGCCATAATTTTTCTCTTAGATTGGTTTTTAAACCACCACGACCGATGTGACCAAGCCGAAGATGCCAGAGGTACAACGTGACACCCCGCTGGTGACCCGTCGAGCTTGACACATTTGCCTAGTCAGGCAGAAGAGGCGTCATGCACAATTGAGCAGACTTTTGCCTATGCGTGCGCCTAGCTGCCATGTCATGTTCATTGCCTCTGCAAAGCACGCTTCGGTTTTAAATGCGATAGAGCCAGCATCTCTCGTAAAACAACCTACAGAGAACAGTTTTCGTGACTGCTTGGGAATATTCCACACACCGGTAATGACGCTCTCCAGCCGTAGTCGGCCATGACAATGTCGCCCAGGCCGGGGCTTGAACAATGCCGACATCCGCAAGCTGCGCGTCTACCGAAGAAATCTTCTTGTAGTTTTTCATGTACTTTCTCAAGTACGTCCGTCATGTGCTGCGTCGCACCTGATTCGATAAGCCAGATGTCAATCGCTGGAAAAGATTCACCACCAACTGAAAAAAGAAAGTCGCCAGGTTTATCTTTAGTCTGCGCGATACTTGCTCCATGCGACCTCTGCCGCTACAAGTTTTCACGGATCCTCACAAGACTCTTGACAATACAATGTCCTTGTTAGCCACAGTAGGTATCTTTTCTTAAATGAGGTTCTCTTTGATTAATAAGGCATAAGCCGAGTTTCTGCATCTGCCGCCCTCCTCTGTGCTTGCGGTGATTATTGGTCATGAATGTTTGACCTTGGCTGTGCTTGACCCCAGCGACACCACCAACTTGTTCCTTCCGCTTCAAGTCTTCGTGCAGCAGCCGAGACGTCACAAGTTCACACGTCAGCGTGTCGGCACGTGAATCCAAAACCGTAATAAGAAACTGGTACGGATCACTTAGGCTGCCAAGAAGCGTGATCGCCAAGTCATCTTCGCTGACCGGAGCACTGACTGCGTCAAGCTGTTCCGCCAGTGTTTGAATCTTGTTGATGTGAGCGAGCACATCATCACCTTCGTCCATCATAGATGTAAAGAAACGACGACGAAGGAAGAGCTTGTTTGCCAGGCTCTTCTTCTCCAAATGGTCTTTTAACTTTGCCATACATCAAATGCACCACCCGCCGAGCAACCCAACGGCAACTGCAAATCTTTCATAGCCAGGCAGATGACAGCAATCGCCTTTCGCGATTTGTGCTTGAATGTTGCTTAATCCAACGCAGTTATGCATTGCACGATCTTGATATCCCCGCAGACGACCTCCCACAGGTCCCGCTCCTCAAGCACCATCCGCATCTTAAATTTCCACGCATGGAAGCTTGTTTCATCAAATTTGTTTCTACGCGTTGCTGAAGAGTCCATGGCGGTGTAGTGTGAGTCGGTGGCGGCGGAGACAGAGTCTAGTGAGCTTGGGCTCATAAGCCTTCGTTCATCATCAATCAGTCAATAGATCAATCATCAATCATTCAATCAAGCATCAATAGCCAATAAGTCAACCAGTCAATACGTCAAGCATCATCAATCAATCAGTCATGTCGAACGAGACGTCTTGACAACAACACTTATCGTCACAAAAGCTTCGAGTGTGCCTATGCGGTGAAGCATGTCAAGAATTGGTAGGTCAGAGGACCGGTGGGTCAAAGAGAAGGTGACCCTCCAAGGAAGAGCGAGCTTTGGGTAAGGTACAGAGATACGGCGCGCTAAAAAAGGGACGAAAACGACCGTTGGATGAGAATAATGTGCAGTCAAAGCGTGCTAGTTAGCCGCCATTCAGAGGAGTTAACCGCGGTTAGCTCGATGGACCGCATTTCCTCGAGGTAGGCCCTGGTTTATCATTGATAGACCTCGGTTTTTTCGTTAAGGTAGACCTTAGCCCTTCGGTCGGCGGACCCTCGGCCCCTGTCCCTAAGGGTCGACCTTGGTCCTGCTAAATGGACCTCAGCCCCTCGGCCCCTCAGTCTTTATACCCTAGCCAAGCAGAATCAAGAATCAGGTCTCACGATAAAGAAAGAGTAAAGGAGTTTAAAGATAGGACTATATTAAATACTACTCAATTTTCGATCTACATAGCACACCTTCGTCGTGCTGCTAAGGTACTTACTAAGTCTACCCACATGTTCCGGGAAGGGATCTAGTTTGGCCCCCCGTCGAAGACAGTTGTGTGGTAAGACCCAAGTGTGAATAGAGCCCCAGGATACATTTGTCCTGTGGGTTTGTCTGAGTAGCACCCCTCCCCCAATCGACCCGCTATCGGAAGCGGGGTCCCTACCCTAGTGGTTCAGGAGAATGTAAAGGCCAGGTGGTTAACACCCCTGAGATGTCAAGGAAGGAAAAGGCCAGGGTTGAGCATCTCCTCTGAAGAATTTGGTTATAAGCCCATCTCGATCTAATCGACCGAGTGGCAACCTATCCGCCTACCGAGTGAAGTATACCCACTTGAGGCACCCCAAGGTCGACATCCTCCAAGGCCGACATCACATTACAATCAAGTCCTCCAAAGGGTGCAACCCGCCAGCCGACGGGTACGCAAGGTGAGAGAAGGTCTTTACGCGGCATTAGGGTACCCCCTCCGACATACGGCAGTCCAGCACAGTGATTGGCTTGGGGTCTCATTGCGCACTTTGAAAACCCACTCCACCACACGTGTGACATCACCATAGAGCGAAGAGCATCCAGTCACAAGATGGCACACGAATTTGTTCCTGCGATAGTAAGACCGTGGCAAATGTAAGTGGCATTTGCCAACGGGTTTATGATAGCATAGACCATGACACTAACAGTGGAAGCAAAGCTTCCTTGCCACTTTCATCATCCAGCTTTCTGTTCAATGACATTAATTAGTCATGCGTCAGTAACAAACAAATCATCACTGTTACGTGATGGTGAGTAACGCTTATGTTAAATTATTAATCGTTTGAGTTGTTGTAGCGTAAATTATGGTACACTAGTCATTATTAGCAACTTCTCTACATAGTTTATACGAGCATTTGTATCCTAAGTACGATTGTGCTCTATCAAAGGTGTATTGATATCTTATAGGCTGATATTGGATTTAACATTTCAGCAAATAAGATTGTGTCGCACTGTACCTACATTTCGGGTACAGCTTCTGCCTATCAATGTAATATCTGTAATTTGTTATGACTCCAGATGTACGAAAAGTAATTAGCCGTCCGTCCAACCTGTTGAATGTTCCATATCAGATACTACTTCCCTCCATAAAAATCCTATTCCCGAGATATAACTGCATGTCGCAAGTTTTCGTAACATTTTTACATAGAATGTCTATATCAGGGCTGTAATACAACAAACGTTTGACAAGGTGATGAAAAAACCTTTGATGACACATTCATCTGTCTCTCTACTTATTAAACAATACAATAAGGTAAAGTTGTTCTATTGTAACAAGGTAACACAAAGGTGTAATTTATATACACACCTGCCACACCACTGGCGTGGCTGTACTTTGAGTACACTGGTAAGTTAATATGACCGTACCTAAGGTACAAAAGGGTCGCATCGTGGCAGAGAGCCACGTGGTCATCATACTTAGTTTAATTATTATAAATATATATGCTTGCATATCAGGAGGCTATAGAGCCAGATAACTAGTGACTAGCACTATATATAGAGTAGTGCTTCTATATTAAGGGTAGAAGATAAACATTGAATAAATCAGTTCAAACATGGTCTGAATAGCACAATTGCTAGAGCATTGGTCCTTGTGTAAAGGAGTTTGTATCTTTGATACTGGTCTCTTCCAGACGTGGTTATTTACAACCAAACGGCACAACATTGTAAAGCTAGCTTTTGGAGGGGTAAGAAACCTAAGACAAACAGCTCCTCGAGCTTGTCTTCCTCTGCACGAAGTGCATAAGTAGCATTGCTACGATACCTCTGCTATACCTGGTGGCACATGTGGTCAATCCCACACCTGAATCTGTGACAACTTTATGTGATAAATGGACACCGAAGAGATGTCTGCGGTTAGACTTTCACAGGCATAGCAGGAAAAGTTGCACAAAAGGTTTGCAATTTTTGGCCCAACGGAAATGCGATATTTTCATCGTTTAAGTCGAAAAAGAGGTTCACAATCGTATTTGCGGTGGAGCAGTGATCACAAAAACTCTCTGTGATCCCGACTTTCCTCTGTAGCCGAACTGTCGACTGACGGAGAGGGTACTCCTATACCGTATGCCAGTCCTTCCCACCTTGTGTATTCGTCTACTGGGCGGGTTGCGCTCTCCTCGGCGAACTTGCTCCAGTCTTGATCGCGATGGTGTCTGTATCGAAGGAGGCGGATCACGTTCTTCACGCGATCGCAGTAAACAAGGCGCTTAAAGTTGCCTTAATCCACTCTGTATCTTCTTTTTACCTTTATTGTCTGTCCTCTAGTAGATTTTCTGGCCACTTGAGCCGTCTCGTTGAGGCCCCTTGCTTGAACGCTGCGTCCGATCGCAGCTGACTTGAATTGAGTATACCTGAACCCCTGGCCACAATCTTCCAGGGGTAACCTGCTGTACGTATGTGTATTACCTTTATTCACCGGTTGGCCAATCAACTCGGAAGAGATAAGAACACGAGTACGATCAGAGATGTTACCTACTAACCAATACTTATACCAATTACTATCCTAAGGTACAAACAATACCTATGGCTAGCCTAGCAAACTCAATACTACCCTACGTCCAAAAATCCCAAAAACTATCTTCTTGCCTACTTGTATGACAGGATCAACGCCACGCGTTATCTCGGAAGCGATCGTGATACAGGGTATGTGATCCACAACCCGCGATTCGATCAGCTGAAGGCTCGATCCGCGATGGCGATCCGAAGAAGGTTGTTCACCCCACACGATCCGATTTGCTTACGACTTGGAGCCCGATCGTAATCTGAGATGTGTGGTCTACACTAGCGATCTAATCCGTAGACGACTTGATCAGCTGGGCACGATCGCGATCCGCATTGTGTAGTCCACACCGTGCGATCACTTTATAGACCAATTGCAAGTGATTCGGACTTACCACAATCATTGGATCGCCCGATCGCCTCCATAATTTTTACTCTTCACATATTCGTATGCTTGAAAAGTACAAGACCGCTTTAGTAAAACATGTAAAGGCACATATGACTTCTTCTGCTGCTTTGCTTATGATATATATGGCCCAGGAAGGGTTTTGCAGACTAAATCCATAAATATATGGAAATCGATAAGCTCGACGGCAAAAAAGGTGACAATTTGGAGAAGCGGTGATCACAAATTCTCATGAAACCCGATCTCCTGGTTAACGCCTCTGAATGGTGCCCAGCCAGCGGGATTTGACTGCGAATTCTTCCCATCCAAAGTTCGTTTCCCCTTTTTTGGAGCGCTTTCTCTCTGGTCCATCGACCAACGGTCTCTTATCTCTAGTGGGACCTTTTTTTTGTAGGTCCGCTGGTCAATCTTGCGCGATTTTCATCTCAAACGTTAGGCGTTCTGCATACTCATCCCAGTCCTGCTGTCCGGGGCATGCATCTTAATGAACGTGTCAGAGTCTGAACCATCCTATCCGCGGTACCATTCTCCTAAGGTCGATAGGCCATGGTTGCCTGTTGACGCTGGCCCGCCGTGCGACTAAACGCCCGAAGGAAATCCGACATAAACCCTGGTTCTCGATCGTGGCGGATTGACTCGCTAGCACCAAAACGGCGAAAAACGCATTCTTCGTACCCTTCAGCTACCGTCTGGGCCGTTCGCGAAGCACTAGCCTTGGTCATCACATACCCCGTGAACAGCTCGACCCATATTAGTTGCTCGGTATTTCCTTTGTGCGACTTAAGCAGAGAGGGAATATGATCCATTGCTAAAATATGGAAAGGGTATATCGAATCGACATTTCCCGGGGCTTGCCCTGTAGGGTAGATCACCTTTCTTAGTCGCTCAATCCAGACATGTACCCACATATCTCTGTACACTTTAGAATAGACCCCTCCAATGGCAGTACCGCCGAATTCGGTGGTAGGTACACCCAACCCCTTGGCGGACTC